AACTACAAGTTGAACTTTTGCTATCTATTCTGATTTAAAGGCCAAGGAAATGAAAAGGCCTTTTCGATATAAAGACTACATTAAACCAGAAGCCTTGCCTTAACTGCAGCAATCTCTCTAGGATTCAAAAGCCAGCGTGCTAAGCTACTGCCACACAGAAGTATACCTAACTTCAAGCTAACCCTTGCTTGCATCATTTCTGAATGGCACTCAAGGAACAGTTTCCTAGGGAACCCCAACAGAAGTCATCCATTTTACACAATCCCTCAGCTTCAACATTTACGATCTGTTCTGACTTGGCCGATTCCGATTACGTAGCTCACAAGTATCAAAAAAACAAGCCACAACTGAGAAGATGACAGGCACAATTCAATTTTTGATTAACAGATTTTTTCATCCCGTGTTTTCAATTCTTATTTTAAACATTCACACAATAATACATTTTCCATTTCAAACAGTAAAGATGCCATCACACTTGTGCAAACACTAAACAAAACATATTGAGGCACAAAGAAGCCAGAAGGAATTCAAGTAACAGTCAAAGTAATTTGGAAGATGCATGTTTTCTAAATCATAGAGGTCTTTTACACTATATTAAAAATAAACCAATTTTCCCATCCATACAAATTAAACAGCTGACTTGCCTATATATACATACCAAGTAATGAGATACCAGTTTAATTTTTTTAGGTAATTTTTCATAAAAGATGACAATTTTCTACAAAAACTAGTCCTTGAATGCTTGAAATCTATGTATCTACCAGACAAGTAACTATTATTTAGAGAAATTCATTTTTTTAAAATAAAAATATATAAGTTTCTCTACACTACCTAATGGCAGCTAAAATATAATAATTTTACAGTGAACTGGTCATACAAAGAAAAATATTTTAAACTGTTTCTCTATAGATAATTTCAATTAAAAGGAAACAAACCCAAAATATTTCATATTTTACATGAACTGGTCAATAGGTTAAGAAAGAAAAATAGTGTTAGAACACTGCAGACACTCCTGCTGACATCACACTGAATAATTACAACTTTTGGTCTTTGTTACAAATGCTGTAAATGTATTTCTATGAAAAAAGCGATGTTCCCCCAATCCCCAAGAAATTAAAACAAGCCATTTAAAAAAAAAAAAAAGAAAACAAAAAAGAAAGTGTTTTAAGAGGCATTTCTTTTAGCTTGCATGATATAGCCTTTGGACTTGATAATTCCTCTGCTTTTAACAATGACCGAATACCGGAGAAGCCATAAAGGAATCCACTCGTGTGCTTTCGTGTTCTGGATGCTTTCCTGAAGAACTTCTTGGAAACTTGCTTCACAAAGTAATTCTGAAGTTGAAAAGGGATATTCATGCTTTAAATAATGTCACGTAAACAGCTGCAAAAAGCAACACTTACTAAAAGAAGCCTTTTCCTACAGTCAAAAATCTTAAGCAGTGCCAGATACTCCACAGATCCACTCTTGCAGAATGCATGTAGAGTAAAAGCAGCTGAATGTTACAGAAGAAATCTTCAGGACAATTTTTTTTGCAACATTGAGTATCTTGCACAAAACTAACTAACTGAGATCTCTACAATATCAAATGGAGTTGATCACCAGAGCCATTAGCAGGAAAAAATGAAAATTAAATTTGAGAAGCTAGCTAGACAAACCAGAAGTGAATAAAGCATAAGGCTGAAATCAGCAAAGTACTGAGCATTCTCAGTTACCCCTGCAGTCACTGGAAACTCAACATTTATAGCATCTCCCATAACTAGGCTCGTAATAACCACAAACCCAGAAAGCATTAAGGAAAATGGGCTTCAATGCCACAAAGCAGAAAAGGAAGGCAAGTACAAATCCTCCTAGTTTTCTCTGGGAAGTCAGTGAAGGGAACAATCTCCTTGATGAGGAGTATTCCCAAAAGATAGTCTCAATACTCTTCAGCTGACCATGACAGAAAAGTTAAGCTTAGCAAACAATGCACTACTTGCTTTGTTTTCTATCCAAATCCTCTTCTCCGTCATTTTATGACTCTCGATAGAGAGTATTTATTAAATCGCAAGTTGCACATTGGACTTCACAGGACATGGAAATTGTCCAATTGAATGGTAATTCATCCTGTATGCTGCCAAAGCAGTGCTGATATATGCTCAAGCACCAATGAAATTAATTAGTTGTAACCGTGGTACTATAAAGCATGTACTTCATAAATAGCGTTTCATATACTTTTTTTCTTTGGAGGGGAGAATGGGAAGAAAGGAGAAGGAAGGAAAAATACGATCATCATGAATAGTTGGTCATAAGGAAGAATTAGGGAGGGAATGAACTAAATATTGTTTAAGATTTCTCCCTTACAATTCCAGCAAGATATTTAAGGCATTGTTATAGTGAAGAAGATTAGATCATGTTTGAAAGAAACTAATATAATATCCCAGAATATTCTAGGGAGCTGGTAACTCAGAATTCCAGAGTCTAAAGGAAAGCCTCCAAGTCCTTCAATCATTTAGTAAATGAATCACTGCACAAAATAAGTAAAGAATTGACACCAACTCTTTTTGTAATGATGTTATTTTAAGAAGTCACTACTTTGACAGAATCCTGCTTAAAGCGTAATAATTTTACATGTCTAACATTACCAAACTATCAAAAATCAACTGACCACCAACATTTCTATGCAAGCTATTTCACAGACAAGTTCTGGGCAAGTGGACTTTCATTTCTCGTTTACTGACCTTCAGCAATACAACTGTCATTTCATCCTATGTTTTGTGGAAATAAGCTATTTTTTGAGCATAGGTAGTACAAATTTCTCAGTAGTTTGTTCTTCTATTTACTTTATTTTCTCTGATCAAAATGATTTCAAGAAACTATCCAAGGCTGGAAGATTGTCTTTTCCCCCCTTTCTTGAAGCAAAAGCAAGAACTTAATAGAAATACTTTATAGAGGAGAAACTTTTAGAATCCTTTGTTCAGGATTCAAATGTAAAAAACTTGGAAGTTCAGAGAAAGATTATTCCCAATTTTGTACTGAATAAAAGCATTTAGAAGTCTTCTGTTAACTTATCTGGCAAAGCCTTACCTTTTGGGTCATTGTGGGTTAACAGCTGTATGTCAAACTGTTTTGCAAATGCTGTGAGATCAGGTGGCATCACACAACAGGAAGCTAGGTTCACCTGATTACTACTTGGTTTCACCTGAAAGTAACAGAATTCTTTTAGAAGAAAAAAAACATTAATGTACTTATTGTAGTTGTTTCCCCCATGCCTTTTATTACAACAGAAATTTTGCTTTGAACAATTTGCCTTTGACCACTGTTTAGAGGTCTGAACAAGGCTAATTAATTCTGCATGATGCTGAACAAGCAACTCCTACATCTGCTATTTCCTCCAGCATAGAGCCCAAAACAAGAATAGGATCTAACTTCAGATGCTGCCACAGCAAGATGAGTACTAACCCATTCTGGCTTCCTATCTGCTGTGCTCCCTAAACAGCAGCAGTTTCCCCCCCCCCCCCTAGTGAAAACATTATAGGGGCATCAGTTTGAAAAAGACTTCAAATAAAAAATCCAAATAAATTTTTGTTAAGGATATGTAATTTGCAGCCTTCCATGCCTTCAGGTAAGTGCCTAAATCTGATTAAGTTAAAAGGGTCTCTCTTCCACTGCTCATCACAAAGGGACTCCTCCTCTGCTCATCACAAACTATTCATGATCACCATGCAGGTGGTCATTAATCTTCTCAATTATCCTCCTCTCAGTATACACAAAACAATGAGGAGTACAAATTAGGACTCTCAGCAGGACCTCTTATACACATATAGTATGTTCACATACCACAAAAGAAATGTCATAAGAGGTGTATTCAAAGAACTAATAAGGAAACAATAAATCCACGAGCTTACATGAGCATGGGCACATACTAGTGCAGACCTCCATCACTAATATGTTAAAAGGCAATTAGTCACATTGGACAACAAAATACTGTGCCACTTCATTCATAGCCTGTCTTCCTCTTTACATTTAAGCTTAGCATTCAAACAGCATTTTTCCAAGGGGAAATCCCTCCATTCATAACACAGCTTAAAGTGAAAACAGCTATGTTTTCAGAGTCACTGGAATAAATCTGAAGGTTTAAGAGTACCATTTATACTACTTCCTAAATATAAAAGCATTCAAAACTCAAATCTTCAGTACTTCAAAGAACCTGCTACTGAACAGACCTGTGGTTTCCAGCCTTTGCTAGTCTGTACCTAAGAGCACTGAACAAGTGACAATCACACTTTGAGCCTCCCCTACCTCAAACAACATTGTGACCATCTATAAGATGCTGAAAATAACAGGGCTAATTAATATTTTGTATATAAACCCATTTATAACAGAAGTTTATAACAATGTGGCAGCCAACAAAACAACAGTTATTCTGTCCTAGAAATGCTACAAGTAGGAAGTTTGTTCTCACCTGTGCCCACAGATACAGCTGCTCTAACAGTGTTTTATCTAGGTCAGAGGTACCTATGGCAACAATCTTTTTGTTTTGAACTAGATTTTCAAGTTCTTGCCAATAAGGTTGCAAATACTCCAAAGAGAGGCTAGTTCCATCTTCAATGGGAGGTGGGGCAATAATGACTGAGTCTAACTGAGCAACTCCGAGGGCAGAACATGCTGAGGAAAAAGAACAGAGACATTGCAAAATCTTTTGTGAGATATGAACATAAGCAGCATGACTCTTCAAATTCAGCAAAAAACATACCTCCTGCTTCATTCTGCTAGCTTCCCATTCATCATTTGAAACTACGAGTGTAACAGCAGTCAAGGATAGTAACACAATGTTTTTAGCAAAGAATCAAACATACAGCTGAAGGCCAAGTTTCAATTGTAGGTCTTGGGGAGAAAAAAAAACCCAACCAAAACCAACAAAAACCCTACCACCAAACAAAGCGTGAAGCTTTTTTCTGCTTTTCAATGTTAAAGCTATATTTTTCTCTGAAGACAGTGGTGACATGCAATTCTTGATTCCTTCACTCTCAGTTTCTTCCAAAATTTGTAACTTTCACTCTGAACTATAACTCAAGTACAGGGCATGGACTAGAAGAACTATTTGATTCATGTGAGGAGTTAGACTAAAAGCACACTGAATATGGAGATTTATATTGCCAGAGAGAAGTGGCAAGTCTTGGAGTATCACTGAGCTTTAAGAAAGATGCAAGTCGTGAGGCCTCTTCTGCACAGCAAAAAGAATAAAACTGCGTAGCTAAATAAATTATTTTCTTCTGGAGGAGGATTCTATCAACGCATTTTTAACAAATGGTACTACAACTTACAATAAAGAGGCTATTAACTGGGGTATCAATAGAAAAGAATGATATCTGACCCTTTGTTCTTTGGTAACCCCTTATGCCCAACAATCTTCCAAAGTGGTAAAGTTCAGTGCTGTTCAATTACTGCTACATTAGGTTAACAAAACTTTATGTATCAGTACAGCCATTGTATTGTATTTTCAATAAAACTTAACTATTTCACAGGCTGCTTGCAGCATTGGTTTATTTTCTAAATAATCTCTGAAATACTGCACAGTTCATAGCAAAGTTCATCATGTTAAAAACAACTGGCAACTAATAACAACTGTAAGAACTATCGTATCACTGTTATTAAAATATCACATGCTATTCCCTTTTTAACAAGTTTTGTGTGAAAGAATAAAAACTTGCTCCTGCTTGGAGCAAGGAATCAGATTTGAGTTTCTGGACCCAAGGTTTCAGAGATCCACATTTAATAACTTTACTGACTGAACTAACGTATAAATAGACTTGATTACCTAAGACTCTCTTAATAGGAAAACAGGATATACTTGTGACAGTCACTAAATACACCTCTTGGATGGAAAAGGTTCTAATTTTATTTTTAAATATGAAAGTAAAAAAAAACCCTACCAGAAGTTTGAGTTTCTCACTTACCCAGGTCAACTGCATCTCTGATCGATGAAGAGTTTGATCCAACGATGAAAAGTTTTGCTATTTTCAAAGAAACTGGAATCAGTAACTAAACAAGCCAGCTATTATTAAATATATAGCTATTTACTTTTGCTATATACACTACTTAAGAGCTCTTGGGTAAAGGGTTCTTAGAATATACACCAATTACTTCAAAAATTGGAAAAAAACCCAACCTTCTGAAAGGTAACTGCCCAATAAAGACACTCTTCTCAAATTTCAAAGTTGTTGTGCAGTCTCAGAACATCATCCAGTTAGATGATCTAATAAGCTGTAAAGCTAGGACTTAAGCATCACAATACTAAGCAATAACTGTAACAACCTGTATAAAAACCCCAAACGTAATAGTACAAACAGACCTCTTCACAACTTACTGAGACTCAAAATGTACTAGTGTTAGTTTGGACTGCCTCCTTCAAGTTCATCACATTCAACCTGGAAAAATTATGCAAATAAATGTGCTTCCAAGGCTATTTCTTAATTGCACTATTATCTGTAATATTTTGCTTCAGAAAAATCAAAGATTCACAAAATACATTTAAAATGTCTTGAGGGGATGTAAGTTAAACTAGAAAAATGCCGAGCTGCTTTAAAACCTGAAATATGAATTCAAGTCTTTCTTAGCCAACTTCTAGATTACTCCAAGTACAACAGTGTGCACTGATGTCATTTGACTTTGCAATTACAAAACACGGTGGAAAAAATATACATATATGAACATCCTATTAATGACTGCATATGAAACCTTTTCATGCCACCAGATTTTTTACTACATTCTTACCTGATACTTTCAACTCCTCCCTTTCTTCAGGATTTATTTTTTCTATAGCTTGAGCTACACTACATTCCAGAACCTCCAGTATTTCCTGTAGTAAGTACATGAGACTTAGGAACAACTCATCCAGAGGAGACAGTAATTTACAAAAAAACCCCAAACAAACAAACAAACCCTAAACAAAAACCTTACAGCAGTTAGAAACAAAAACAGTATAAAAATGCAATGACAGAAAGAAAGTAACCCAATGCTTTGTGATCTCTGAGGGGAGGTCAGGAAAATGAAGCTGTATGAAAGGCCCTATATGCCTCTAATATAAAAAAATACAAATTACTGATGAGAATTACTGGATTAAGATTTAGTAGTGTTCTGATTTTCTGATGTGAACAGATCACTGTGCCAATTCAAACTGCCTTGCTTTAAAAAAGCCTCATGACCAGCTGAAAAAAAAACATTAGCGGTTTTGGGTGTTGGGTGGGAACATCTTTGCATAGAAGTATTTTGTAATTTCAGTGAAGCCTATGAAAAGCGTACAGTGACAATGCTGTAAAATACAGATTTAAAACAGTAATTTTGAAACTAAAAATTAGGAAAGTTTCAGAGATTTCACCCTCTGACCTCATTTAAGACTAGGCTGATATCTCATGTCAGCTGGCACGAGGTGACTTTTTTAAAGTCTTCACCTACATGAGATTTTGTATTATACACACCCACCCACCCCACCCTGCCCCCAACCAAAAACTCTTTGGTAATTTTTGCTGTCCTACCAAAAAATCCTCAAGTGAGTCTTCGGGTTATTCCATACAGTCAGCATTTTAAACAAAAGTTAACTTTTTTTTTAATTACTGGAAACCAATGTAATTCATAAAAGAATTTGGAATTATGCAGTTAACATGTTTTGACAGTAAGACCTAGCTTACACTAAATAATCAACTTTAAATGGATCATTACATCATTAGATCTTCCACAAATCATTCAGCAATAACTGCCTCCTCACGCTCCAGTGTAGAATGCAGCAATGTGCAGTTGATGCCACCATTACACAAGAACTTATAATAAAACCCAAAGAAACGGTCAGGAAAGGTTTTTTAGGTTTGGGTTTTTTTTTTTTTCTTTTTTTTTTTTTTAAATGAAACATGCTAATATTTCACAGAGTAAATAATGGCAACCTATCACTGCTTTGCTGAATTTCAGAAGCAATAGTGAAAGAGGAGCAGGCAAATACACCAACGTCTTGATGTCAGATGCCCATGACTGTGGTTTTAAGAATTATGTGGAAGTCTTTAGTTCTTAAGGGAAAAATTGCCACTTCTGCATCTTCAGAAATATTTCTGAGAGAACCAAGGCTACGCTTCAGAGTTCCCCTCCAAACGGGATGATCTTCAGCTATCCAGTTTATCATCTCCATAGTTTAGATAATTTTCACAAGCATGCTAGCAAACTTCTAAGGTACACAGAATATTTTTCTTCTTGTGATTGCCCCAACAATTATCTTGAAATCTTACAGACCAGGACTTTTATTTTGCTAATAATTATCTTATTTGCCATCAACAGGATTCTTTACTTAGGTATTTCTTAACCTCTCCAAACTCAGTAAATATTAAAAAAAAATAAAGAGGGGTTGAGAAATACTCTTTTAAGATATCTGGAGCTGCAGATACTTTTACAGAAATTTCATAGATTCATTTATATTTTAAAAGGTGTAACCAACTACATATTTCTCTGTTTTCACATGTAACATGGATAACATGCATAACACCTCTCCTACCTGATTTAGATCTTGTCCAATCTTTGAGCTCCATTCAGTCAGCGTTTTCTGAATGCAGTCCCGCACCTACAAAATAATTTTTCATATTGCAATGTAGGTATGTTATAGTTGCACAGAAATACAATGATTTGTAGGCATGTAGGACAGACAGAGCAGGTAAACTAATTACACCATTCCCTTAACCACAGAAGATTCTTTCTTCATAGCTTCTGTCTGAAACTTGTTCAAACCAGTTTACTTACATATTTTCCTCTCCTCTTTCACAAAGAATTTTAGCAGTAATACAAGTACTGTACTTCATTTATTTCTCAGACGAATGCCATCTTTAAAGGAAAGAACAATGCTAAGCAAGCGAGAACTAGGGTATGGGGTGTTGGGTTTTTTGTGTAGAGATTCTTAAGTTACAATGTAGTCAGATAATAGTATCTAACATGCTGTGACATTGTTAGAAATGAGACTTTACAATCAATCACTAAATACTCATTATATTAATTACTTCTCTTTCCAAGATACATGTGACCCTTTTCATTTACTGCCTATCTATTCCACTGTGCCAAACCACTAATGCTTTTAAGTCCTTCATTACTGAATGGGGAACCTTCAGATCCTACCCCACACTTGGATTTTTCCTGCATCCACAGATGCAAAACAAACTTGACTAGAATTCTGATTATGGATTTTCTGGAACATAGTAAGGCATAACTATTAAGTCTAAATCAGCTAGTTAACTGCATATTGTACCAGTGCTTCAGCTGTACCAATGCTCTAGCTTCCCTCTGATACATCTCAGGAGTTGTTACCCTGCAGGCTAAGTAAATGTACTGTCAAGATTGGAATCTGCCACAGGTAGGAGCACTTTCACAAGCTGCTGCTTTACTTCACTTTTAGCAATATATTTTATACCTGTGTGGATATCTACTTTTTGTACCATTAAATAGCAATTTCCTGTGACACCTAACATTAATTCAGAGAGCCCATAATACCATGCACAAACTAGAAGCCAACCTCCCCCCATAAAACTGGGTATCACAAAGTTTAAGAGATAATACAGTAATAATACTTTGTGAACACAAATTCTATAGATTCTTTCCCAGTCATTTAAAAAGGTATGAAAAAATAACTCAGTCAAAAGGCAAGAACCGACTCCCCCCACTAAATAGCTATCCACAATGCTGGAATTCTTTAGCCTATTTTGATGCAACTTATAATGTTACTTTTTCCTTTCTGAGGGAAAGCGAGGCAGTGCTAAATATGTATATTCTATATATAGCTACTTTGCAACTCTCACACTTTGTATTTCTACTGCCATTAGTATGCACAAGCCTCTGTCTTCAAAGCACACCATTCCCCTGCCCTCAACACATGTGAAAAGCGCAGCATACTTGACTGCTTTGACCAGCTTTTCCACATACAGTTACATCTCCAAACTCCTAACATTAGGGTTCATAGTTTGCAAAATTTTAGCTTACATTCTGCCATGAAGTATATACACACTAACTACACCAATAGAAGAGTTAAAAGCCAATTTATTTCTGATAATTAATGCCAATTATTTGCTTTTGGAATTCCTGCAACTCTGGAAAGCAGGCAGCCTTAATGTTTACATGCAGATTTCCATATAAATGAATTTAAATACCTTTACTGATTAGTTATGCACACTAGTCACTCTTTATTTAACAACCCTCCAGAAACTACTCACACAAGGGAGCCCATTATGATACAGCTATCTCTTTGCTACAGAATCTAGCCCTATTTCACACATATCACAGAATGTTGTAATAAGCAACCAGGCGAAATAAAAAATTTATTACCACATGATAACTAAGTAAAAGTATGATGAATTCTTCCTCCTCATTACATCATCCTCCCAGTCACCTTTCTTACTATTTGTGTATGATTAATATGCAATCAACCGACTTCTAGATTATCAACAGTGCCATTACATAGCAATAACCAGCCAAAACCATAGTTCTTCTGATTATTAAATGACTATTTTCAGATTACTGTGTCATGACATGACAGCAAATGCAGTGGTTCTGAAGTTCACAGCCACAGGATCTCCAGACATTTTATAAGGATTATTTTAAGTGTTGACACATACTGCTAAAGGTAATAGTTTTAAAGTGGTGATTAAAAAGTTCCTTCAACTTTTTAACAAAGAATGACAGCTATACTCTTTAAAGACGACAGCAATGATTAATTTTCCTAAGACCTGTCACCATCAAGAAATTCAATTAATTTCAGGTCAGAAAAGAGAATTTTCGTCATTTGTAATGCAAGCTGCTATCTATTCATATCTTTCTCTTGCTAAAGAAGTCTCAGGGATCTCCTTCGCCATTACAGACAGTACTTAAACTTGTAAGCGTTTTAATTCTTCTTTCCCCGAGAGAAGAAGCACGCTCTGGTTTCTTCCGAAAGAGACTCAAACACAGCAAAGTGCTGCCGGGGGCGCGCGGGGCACCTCTGCCTGTCGCTAGTGGGGCTGGTTCTGCCTGTCACCG